CCCAGCAAGCAAGCTAATGTTATTTATCGTTATTTTAACAGTAAAGATGTCATTTTGAATAAAAATGACGATAAATAACGTCAGCTTGTTTGCTGGATACAGATCTGAAAATAATTTTGTTAAACCGTCAAAATGATTACGTAGAAATTTCAAACACGAGTAATACTGCGAAAATTTTTGACATTTTAGTAACCACTTTGAACGTCTCTATATCATAATTATTTTGAATTTAACAAAATTATTTTCAGATTTGTATCTAGATAAATTTTTAGACACTTCAACAAAATTGTCCTTTCCATAAGTACCTACGTGTAGCTAAATTACAAAATGTACATTATCCGTCGCAGTATATACATATCTAATAACTTTAGTATCGACGGCTCGTTCGTGCACGGCCCAGAGATGCATGCCGTCAGTAGGCTATGCAAACGTATCCATAATACATAACATGCACATGCGCCTGTATGCACGAGACATGTGCATGCTGTGTGGTGTGTTGCGTACGTATTGCGTGTATACGCAGCGTATACGTAGTGGCGGCTTCGCCGCATCTAATGTACACTTTTCACGTCGCGGCAAACTGCGACGAGCACCGTAAAGATAGTCCAGGCAAGTGCATGTTGGTATTACGTGACGTGCCGCTCGATAATGATACCACCGTCGCGCGATAAAAACAAAGTGAGCGTTATACAAACACATTCGCATATATACGTGCGTACGCGCATAAAGACATGCCCTATACAAGTGTTGAAGGTAAAAGATAATGGGAAGCATCGCGCTTTAACGAAATTCCGCAATGCGTGAGAAAATTATTCGTTCGCCTTATCGCTCTATTTCGACTTGCTCGGGGGGATATTATTAATATATTTCGCGCAAGAAATTTCCACTCAGCAATGATGCAACGATCGAGAACGTTCTTCCTGCTCAATTAGATTTAACTACACTGTAAAAAAAATTATGTGTAAAATTACAACAATTATAATTATTAATTTTGGAACCCATTATTCTGCTAGAAAAAATGTATGCAGTTTTTTAGACGCCCAATTACTGTATAGTATTATTGTATTCTCATTAATTGTAACAATACTGCGTAAGGAATGAGCAAGAACTTGATCGAATTTTATTCAGTGGCTCTGAATTAGTTTTCCTGATGAAAATATGTGCAATTTGTGTAGACGTAGTTATTTTATTAATTTTTATTAGTTAAAATACTGCGTAAGTCACTAATTCCTATTTTTATTCAGCAAATGGGTCCAGATTTTGCACATCTTTTGTGCCCAGTAATTGCAAGTAAAGCATTATATTTTTGAGATTCCAAGTTTTACTTCTCAGTTACTGGACCGAAGTTAATAAACTGTCTAGTAGCTGTTCAAAAAATGCATGAAATTTCTGCCAGGGGTATTATAGGTTTATATTTACATACGCGTAAAATAACTTACAAATAAAATTAAATTGTTCTTCTTTACAGTAATTAAATAATTTGCAAAAGTAAATTTATAATTAAAGTTAAGCTTCTAGAAATATTTACGTAGAGGAGGAGGTAGTATTATGGCCAGTGTATATATTGTCTCCCTTAATATCTCCGTTATTAAATAACGAATCTTAATGATTACTTATGGAATTATTAGTTCAGTAGCTCGCCGTTACACCATGATGCTAATATTACCAATACTCAATAACCAGCATTTATAACGCATTTTTACCTTCAAGTATTTTGAAATGTTTCTGGTACACTTTAGCATTTAATTACACCTACTTCTTCATTTTTTTTAAACTTGAGCATATTATCATACGAATATACCATATATATTTTTGAGTATGTTATTTGCTATTTAACGTTTTATTTGACTATATATATTTTGAGTTATACAAATTTAAACAATACCATGGCATTTTGCTAATGTGGCCTTCTATGAATATTGATTACTCATGACCTCTTTTTTGAGGTTTTCATATCAAAATAATTATTTGATAATTGATTGTAACTCTACTGTTAATCTATAGTTTATATTACGTGTACTATTTTTAGTACTGAGATTTTTAGTACTGAGCAGCTTATATGCAGAAGTTATGTATATTCATTTGCATACATTTTAAAATATTTTTCTTTATTGTTAATTTTGTAATCAAATACTGTTTTCTAAACAAAACTAATATTTTGAGGCTATTTTTATGGAAGGCCATATTACCGCTCATTTTTTTCTTAGAGTCATTATGCAATATCGCCACATTTTTATTAATAGTATCCTAAATAATAAATATTTCGTAACTTTGAGTCCAGAATTGATTCAATAATATTTTAATGAATGTAATTATCAAGTTTTAAACTTAAATATTAATTATTAACAAAGTTATTGTGTAAAATGTAATTGGAGTGCCATAATACCACCTTCTCCTTTATTAATTCGCTGTGTACAATTTTTCTTAAGCAATGTTAATATATAGGTACATAAAAATGAAATAATATGTACATATATATTATTACTATTATTATTATTATTACACATATAATGTTGTTGCACAAGAAATTTTGTACATTTATATTGAAATCATAAAATATATTATTCTTGTAATTTTCCATTTATATAAAGATATGTTAGAAGTAAAAGTAATAATTTTTGCCTAAAATTTTAACATAGTATATTATTCATGTAATTTTACATACTTTTTTTACAGTGTACGAAAAAAAACATGTCAGAGAAAGATCGCAATAAAGAAGTTTTTTAAGACTCAATATAAGTCGGATTTATGTCGTAATCAGGATATTTTATCTAGAATTGAGGGCAGATTGCTATGAGATTATATGGTAACTCGTTTTTAACGTCTTACGCGTAGATTGAGGATTTTAAAAGTAGTATGTTCATGCTTTTAAAATGCCAGTAGTCACGAGTCAGTTATTTCTGAATTAATGAATATTATATTTAGATAGATCGTAAACAAAAGTTTTTAACAACACGAAAATGAATATTTGTAAATTGCCATAAAGTTACGCTTATAAAGAGATCTTTAACATTTTATGTTTACATTAGCAAGATCGATTAATGTACATCTGCAGATCTTTAAAGCGCCTGTACATGTTAAATGTGACAGTAGTTACAGCGGTCAAACACGCTATGTACCGTCGTTCTTCCTGAATTATAAATAACGACGAAACATCGATAATAATGTATTCAAGTTGATTCCGTCATCTTGTATGCTCGATTATTGACGACATTATCGTATTCCTCGCAAGCCATATCGCGCAAAATGCGATTTGAAATAGGATCATCGTCAAAGATACCCACTTCGGCGAATATGATATCTGACGGAACTTTTACGAACTTTTTATCGATGCCGTCGTCAAAATCGAAAAACGATGTAATGTCAAGTGGATCGCTAAGTCGGATCGTTAAGGGGATTCCTGTGTGTTTTATCGATTATTTTTCAAAGTATTTTTCTAATTGCCTTTACACACACACAGCCACGCACACGCACGCACGCACACAATTATTTTAAAAATCCTTTTCTATAATTAAAGTATAAACAGTAATGTAATTCAAACCAGTCGACTTTATTCCATTAAATCATTATTAAAAAACTTTATGAAAATAATTTGGAAAATTACAGTTTTGTTATGGGTTTCTAGCATCGCATTGTGATAATATTTGTTTTATATACTTTATACGTGTAAAACTATCTTCGTTTGGACTTGGGATTACATGAACAAACAATATTGAGTTCTTAGAATTGGCTTAGGGCGGGAGCACAGAAGTCGCATAAGAAATGCATAAGAAAATGAACTAATCAAAGTTCTTCATCTTCTCCCTTCCTATGAAATAAAAGACTCTGGTTGATTTTCTTATCCTTTATGCATTATGCGTTATGCAAAAGGTTGTATGGATTTAGATACTTAATATGAAAGATTAGTTAGAAAATTTGTACATGTGATATTAATGTGCAGTAAGTGTAGTAATGTGTCAATGACATGTAAATCGTATGTATGTAAGTCCTACTGAATCAATAAAACAGACAACTTTAGGATTCCCTTAAGCAGCGTCTACAATGAGATTTTAAGGCATAAAACTTAAGCTCCAAGCCTTAAGCCATAAAAAATTGATCGATCATAGACGATTGTTCTCCTCACATTCGACTGTGATGGTCAATTTCGTACGGCTTGATTTAAGGTCTCTTTCACCAACCTCGGTTAAGCTAACCGACGGTTATGGGGTTCATTTAGGCCCAGTTCCACAATTCATGGTTAACTTTTAACCGAGGTTTAATTTATTTTAAGCTAAATCCATCCAGAGCCCCATCCATCGGTTAGCTTAACCAAGGTTGTTGAAAGAGACCCTTAAAGCTTAAGTTTAACACTTTAAAATCTTACTAGAGACACCGTTTTAAACGCGTGCAAGCGCACCGGACAAAGTATAGTGCGAATACGATTTACAGCCGGTTATGAACGCGCACGTTCGGGTACGAAGTGCGCTTTGGTAAGTGCGAGCTGAGAGGGAGAGAGGGCCAGGTGTGCTCTCGGCAAACGAGATGGATGTGCTGGATGTTCGCGTATCGCGTGACCACTCGATCAACGCCGCCGCGAGTTGACAGTGACTTACGCACCCGGGCACTCAACGAGATATGACATGCGCCACTGGTCGCGCGCCGCCCGCGCCGATGGGGCGCCCCTATTGTTACCCTACCTGTGTACCCGCCAAACACCCTTAATCTTTCTATCTTTCATAGCCTTTGTCATCGTTCGATCGCTCACGTACACCATATTTCTCTCCCCCTGCGCGCTCACCCCTCGGCCTTTATCGGCCTACTTCCCGTCTCACGAATAAAGTGCAATGTTCGTTGTTCACCACGATAATGTCGTTTATTTCATGAGGCAGTACTTTTTTGCATTTAAGCCGGTATATCTAAAACCGGTTCGATCCTTCGGGGACACGCGTCGCGACAACGACGTCTCTCGTCGAACGATATTAAAGACTGATCGCAATGATCGACAGGCGGTGGTTACTTACCGGAATCCAGAACCGTGTATCGTGGATTTGACGTATCGATAGGCAGCATATCTCGTACCCAGGAGATGATGGGCGTCGGGGATCCAACCGCAGTGCAAAGAAGGACAGCGTTGTGACCCATCTCGACTACCTTCGTCGTTGGCGCTTGAGTGATCATCGGAAAACCCATCGGTAGATTCTCCGCTGTAATCGCAAAGAAAGACATCTTTAGTCATTAGCCATTGTAGGAGAGCTTAAAAGTCTGTAGTAATCGGTGCATTATGCAGTAAGAGGCTGATAATATTGTAAAAAGAAGACGGGAGTTGATGCATCTTTTAAGAAAATTTCCTGAAAAGCGAATATATTTGTACTTATAATCGTAATAAGACAACATACGTAAGGCAATTTATAATAAATGTGACATTTAAATAATAATCTGGCTACAATTTTAAGAAGCACATGTTATACGAGCACATACTATTTGAAGTCGTTATGATTTTCATGAATTTGCAGGATCACTGCATTAATATTCCCTGAGAGCGAGGTAACTTGATATTTCATATTATATTTTAAGATATAGCGCGAGTTCAGCGAGTTCATTGAGCTCATATGCTTGCATGAGTTTAATTTGTATTTGTTTGAGCTTTTATATATGCAGACGTGTTTGCGCACATTGAGTATAATCGATCAAAAATTTTTGACTGCTTCATCCGTTATTCATCTACAAGATGTATGATCTTCTTAGATATCAGAATAATCAAATAATGCTATATACAGGGTGTCCTGAAATTCGCGAATTAAAATACTGCAGTAAGAAAGTTTTCAAAAAATTAAATAAAAATGTGTTATATCCGTAAATTTTTATTTTAAGCAATGGTTTGTGAAATAATAAAGCTTATTATTGTGTAAGCTTATTGTTGTGCTAAGTATGATCAATTACGAATTCTACATTTAAATGAACAATGTTTAAACGCTAAAATGCGCGCTTACTAATAGATACTACTGCACGTGTGATTTATAGACAGAAGATCGTTTAAACATAATCTATAATTAGCTATATTTTGAACCTTTAATATTGTATCTTGAAAACTACTGCTTCAAATAAAAATGTATATATAGCTTTTTACTTTTTTTTTCAAAAATTTTCTCGTTATGGTATTTTGATTCGCGAATTTCGGGACCCCTTTGTAAAGTGAGCGTACGTGGATTAGTTATAACGGAGATAACATCTAGTCGAAAATATTTATGTAGCGGAAATGTCAAAATATTCGACGTGTACACATCTTTTACATTGATACGAGGTAAACTTCGCGGCTCGTCAATTATATATCGGATGTGTCGTAGAGTAGATCCAGATAGCCCTCTGTGGATCGTAGACGGGCATCCGGCGACTGGTCTCGCGGGATCGAAAGTTAGGAGAAGCCACTGAAACTGGTCGGCCATGCCGCCGTTCCCATTTCCCATCGCGGAAAACAGATCTTCCGTCTCTCGGAAGGCAGCCCGCTGATATGGATAGATGAATGCCGATGCGATCAGGAATGGAATCACAGAATTCAATATACCGCGCGGAGATCTTTTGAAAAGATCTGCCAAAAACATCAAATAAATCGCGATTTCATTTCGCTTTTTGGAGATGTTGGAATAAAATTGAAATGAATATCCCGCAAAAGATTTCTAATTCATTATTTATTGACGCTCAGTTCTTTTCGCATATTTCTGTTCTTTTAGTAACTGTTGTTTGAGAAACGTGTAATAGAACCGTCGGATAAACCTATTTTTTAACAACAAAAAATAACATATCACTGAAGCTAATTAAGCAGATAAAAATATCTGCCCAGAGAGAGAAATATTGTAATCATTCGACAAAACATTATGTTTTGCGAGAAACGAAGCGATATTTATAAAATGCACTGACAATGACAAAAACAAGTCAAAATATTCGCAAATGTGACGTTTGCTTCAATATTTAATGGCTATAAAAAATTGTAACTGTGATGACAAAATACTCATAATACTCGTAATAATAGTTAAATATCATATAGATTTCTGTAAAACATATCTCATTAATTATAAATTATATCTCATTAATTGTAAAAAAATAAAATAAATGGTATATTTGTCAGGGAATAAAATTTTATTTCACCGTATTTAAATAAGAATTTATTTTAGTGAAATAAACATTATATTTCACAAATAAATTGTGAAGTTGTCTATGGCGACATTTGAATTTTCGTGGATCTTAATAGGCTGTATGCTCACTACGAATCTGCTCGATATCCAATTAAAAGATATGTTCAATAGAGATTGAGCGCGTCAAAGGAACGATGCACGACAAGTCGTGCGTGAAGTTCAGCCTCGGGGCAAGCAAGAAGATTAATTCGACCTGTTTCGAGGTACACGTGATACGACCCCACATCGCTCCCGTTCTTCATGTAATTACGACGGTGCTACATTAATCCTTGGGGTGAACTCGTAGTTAAATCTAAGTTGGCGACGCGGCGTACGAAGTTCCGAACAACTCCCGCGATTGTCCTGCTTCCGTTTCGACGATGTTCGTACGACAGAGATGAAGACAATTTACTCGAACCGATTTAATAACGATTTTATAATACTGGTTGTTTATTTCAAGCAAACGCAGAATTTATTTTGCAAAAATGTAAAATTAAAAATTCAATAAAGAAGATATAATACAATATATACAATATATAAGATATAACACATAATAGAATTATATTATAGATCAGAGGTGGCCAACCTGCGGCATGTCTGAAAAAGCGCGCGCTCAGAGAAAAATAAAAAATCAAAAATGACGCAGTAAAATAGCAACTAAAACTCTATTAAAATCTATTTTTACACTTATACCTTCTAATTACGTTCATTTTGTTCATCATTGTCTTAAAGGCATTAGACTGATATTTTATTACTGTATTTTTATGACACAGATTTTGAGTACATATTAACTATACAGATTTGAGCATTTGAGTATATATTAACTATTGGATAACTTTCTTGAGAATTCGATGGCTGATCAAAGAACAAAGATAGTATTTTAAAGGTGTTTTAAATGTACAAAACACATGCAATGTCTAATTAATATTTTGGTCTACTTTAATTTGTAATAATTTACTTTAAAACAAATATAAAACAGACTACAGTAAAAGAAATAAATTTTGTTAAACAGAAAAAAAATTTTTGCTTTCAATGCAAGAGAAAAAAGTATAAGTAAGATTTTATGGAATTTTATATTCTAGATAAATTATATGTGCACGAAAAAAGTCTATTACTCAAATTCTTGATATTTTTCTCGTATCATTCTATAAATATTTTCATTTTATATTTAAAGTTAAATGTGTCACAGAGATGATACTTTTTATTATGCATCGGCATTAATAAATTAAAATTTAAATCATGCAAAGAAATACGTTTCCCATTTTACAATTTAATACGAAGTTTCTTATTTCACATTCGAATTACAAAAAATTTGTAAAAAAGGTTCTATAATTTTTACAAATTTAACTATCTGAGGTTAAGTTACTGGCAAGCGAACTTGAGACTTATTACAAGGCAACTAGGTGAAAGTTCGCCGTAAGGGCACGATCAAACTGCAATTACCATCGACGCCTCGGGGTAGCTCTTAGAAAGTCCATCTTTCACAGAGTCGTCAATTACAAGAGCAATCGGAACTCGCGGACGAAGTTAGTGGTCGGCAAGTACTTTCTCGTATTCTGATCTACTCGTCTCTATTCACGACGCATTTTAAACCAATGAACCTGTTGGAGCTCAGTAAATCAGTCATTAACGTAAAAATATATTTGAAGAATTGGTACAAAAAAGAAAGAACAAAAGGACACAAAGCAATTGCGTCCAACTGCTTTGTGTCCTTTTGTTCTTTCCTTTTTCTTTTATAACATTAATATTGTCTCTAATTGTTAACGTTATCCGAACAATTGGTGTTCGAATGGACTGCGGATAAAGACAAAATTAAATTTTTCTTAATTGTTTCATCATTATCTTCCAATCACCCATTCTTTTCTTGTGTTGGAAGATTTTCATTCAATAATTATTCAAAATAAAATCGATGTAAATGAGCTTTTCTTTTCGTAAAAATCACTTTTTAATTTACTTCATAAAACTTTGTATTTTTCCAACAAGTGACATAATTACGTCGGCATTAAGTCAATTTCTTCCCTTTCAGAATCTATATATTTATTCGTAATAATAAAATTTGTAGAGAGATAAATTGAAATATGATTTAGCGCAATCTGATTTCGCTCGATACTTCGAGTTATCGTTAATTTTCGAGTTTAGTGAATGCATAAATTAATAATCTGCCTTTAATCTGCCAAATTAACAATTCTACTTTTAACATGAATACACAGAACAGAATTTAATTACATCATCATTACATATATGATTTATTCGCTTCAACGTAATGAGATATTACCGCACCACTTTTCTAACGCAGATCACGATGGCATGGATGTGCTATCATGTATTTATATTACCACACATGTATCGAAAACTTTCGAGTTAATAGAAGATGCACGAGATGTACGATCCAATCGAGGAATTGCCTGGCTTTGGTGTATACCGCGCAGAGGTAAAACCATCGTAAATAGGTCAAGCCGTCAAGCAATTTACTGGCTATTTGCTACTATAGTCGCGACTATTGTGCATTAAGGAACTCAAAGCTATTATACAAGTCGTGTCGTTCTATCTTCCTTTCACTTCCTCGACGGAATCTGTCAAATTAAACGGGATTCGTGTGCTATTAACGCAAGGGAGAGGCCGATAGGGGAGAGCGATGGTTCGATGCTCGACAATCTCCAGGATTTTCTCGGGGTCTTCCTTTTCCCCATTGTCTTCTTCCGCGGCGCCGCTTCTTTGTCCTCGTTATCGTCCGAGTTATCCGACGCGCGGCTGCGCCAATTATATCGGCGACCGAGAGAGCGCTTCGCGGCCGACAATAGAAATCGCCTGCAGACTTTCCGCGTGGCCCCCGCAGCCATTTCCACCCTTTCCTCTTCCACCTTTGCCCCTCCTACACTATATCCTCTTTCCTCCGCGCGCTTTTCCACCGGCGACAACAAACAATACAAGCACCCGACGTTGCAACGACAACAAAGTCGTCGGCGAAGCTATTGTCCCCGCTTGGCGATCCGGCTGCCGCCTTCCTCGTGTCCGAGGTCGCGCGACGACCATTG